ACATATTGATATAGATGATATAGACAGATATGAACATATATATATATATATATATATATATATATATATATATATATATATGTTGTTATCTGTCTATATTTTTTTTTTTTCTTTGGACTTGGAACACTGGATGACTGTTTTCGCCTTGTTTTAATGTTCTTGGTTCTTTCTTTGTTTTATTCCATTTTCTATGAGTACTGATTTGTTCTATTGTAAGTTGAGTTATCCGAGGTTTTTCCAAACGAGTACCGCCATATATATTATATATATATATATATATATATATATATATGAAGAAATATAGTTTTAAGATATGCTATATTCATGGGATAAAGTGCTCAATATCAGAGATAGATCATATGAAAATATAAAATTGAACATTGAATTCAACACTCAGAGGCAACAGACTGTTTCATGCTAAATGCAATTGTCATACCACCTGATATATATATATATATATATATATATATATATATATAGGGAGAGAGAAAAGAGAGAGAGATAAACATATTGAGGTACATAGGTTTGCCAATTGTCCAGTTCACACTCTGTTGAGGCATTGTTAGTGCTAGAAATAAAGACACAAAGAGGGGAATTGAGTTAAACAAATATATTAATAGAAACATTAATACAAACATATACAAACGAGAGTATTACAACAAGAATGTTCGTTCCGACTGTTAGAGCTGACTGCTGGAAACTTCCCTCTCCAAAAGGCAGTACCTGCTCCTATTTATAGCTGGGAGAGTCCATGCATCCAAGTGTAAATTACCATAACACACTTCTTCCTGGTACAGGTGTAGAGGTTTATTCCATGTTTCCTGTTTTGGATTGGGCTTCCACTTCCTTCTAAAGTCTACTTCAACTCTATACTTCTGATGTTGCCACCTAAACTGTGAAATTTTATTTAATATTTTTTTTCTTTCTTTCCTCAATAAGTGTAGATAAATTCACTTATCATCCAGTTCACATTCCTTCAGCATCTTTTGAACAGGAGTAGAGGTTTTTCCCTAGTTTCCTGTTTAGGATTATGTGTCCAGTTCCTCCAAAAGTTTACTCATCCTCTTTCACTCCCAGTAGTCCCTTGTGTCTTAGTGGCATTATTGCCATGCTTGGGGTGAATTGATTAAAAAAAATATGAAATGCAATATAGTGACAACACTAAGTAAAGCATTGTTTGACTAATTCAGCTTTAGCTCTAAAAACATTTATTTTATTATAGTGGATGGCTACAAGCGAGATGGGATGTGCTTATTTTATTTATTACCACATGAACACAGAAAAATTATAATGACATGAAGTGTGAAAACATTTATAACAGGAGAAAGTTGTTTTTTACTGAAGCACAGAAGATACAAATAAATATTTGTCAGCAAATGAAGAGTACATTAATTGCAATCGATCTTTGAAAATTGTTGAGGAGAAATGCTTTGTTGACAGTTTTTGCTCAAACTACATCAAATGAACAACATGCATTGGAAGGAGAAGAAATTCAACAAAGACTTCTCCTAGCAGCCATGCCAAGGCTGAAAACCAATGTTCACAAAAACTGTATAGAATTGTTCTTTGCCCCTCAGTTTCGACAGCTCGAGTAGCAGGAGTTCTGGCAGCGTTCCTTCCTCGTCTAGTTAACCATTGCTCATTAGTTTCTGCTGGCCTTGCATTAGCTGTACAAATAGCATTTTGTGTCAGTCTAATTTAAGTTTCTTGTTGTGAAGCATTTCTTCTCCATGCTTTCATGCATTTCATTGTAGTAGTAGTACATCTAAGTGAAGGATTTCACTTTCTTGGCATTACTGTCAGGCTGTAATTGGAGGGATTTGGCTAAGCTTTTTGAATAACAATGAAGTAATGAATTAAAAAGCAAGAATATTATACACATTAATGGAAATATAGCCACAATAAATTAAATGCAAGTTTATAAGGGAGACCACAGGAACGTGGTAAACAATTATAAGCAAGCTCGTAAAGTTAGGATTTATCTAAAAATAGACTACCAAAAAAACGTTCTAGTGATAAAAATAAAATTAATGTGCAGCTAGAAACCTACTCACTATGAATGTTAAAACATACATGCTAAGTTTAGCATAATTATAAATGAATTGAAAGAGGGTCTTTACATTAATATATGTGCATTTTTCAGAATAAAACTATCAAAATTTTAGGGCTCAAGTTTCCAAATATATGAGTTAGTAAGCATTATTTAAACGCTGATTAGAAGATGATAAATACATAATTAAAAGTTGGCATTTATGCTTAAACTTTTTTAATAATATGATTTTCACAAATTTAAATTTAAAGTATCAAAAATTCAAAATATACATGCATGAAGGCAGCCTACCTTTTTACTGGATGACAATTTTGATGCAAATGAGATTTTTTGCATTTATTTCTTCACATAGCAGTAATGAACACTACACGTGAAGCAAAATCGATAGTACGTACTACATAACTCAATCGATCATTGCATGTGGAGCAAAATCAATTGTACACACTGCACATCTCGATCGATCTTGCATATGTGTCTTATACCTACGTGCACGTCTCTCATCGGTGCACAGTTTCGTTTGCACTTATTCTTTTTTTCTTAAGGAAGGATATAATTTTTGCTGTCAAGTTAATGCAAACTAAACTATTTCAGTACCAAAACGGGAAATCCATGGGAAAAACTGATATTTTTCATAATGCATTTATGACACATCGAGTGTCAGTTTTGATTTTGAGTTGATTGATCTAAACACAAATTATGTGCAAATTTTCATCGGAATGCTGCTAACCACTACAATTGAAAGACTAATGGGGCAGCAAGGTGTTCATGGGTCATCTTGGGGGCCCCTTATGTAATTTTCAAAATCTGATAATCGTTTTTGATTCATTTTAAGATTGTAACATACATGTAAAATTCCATCAAAATCTAAGCAATTTGAAAATTTGGGAGTCCTTTTGGTTCACCCTAGGGGTCCCAAATTTCAAGCCAAAGGACAGCTTTAAGGCTAATAGTAATTGAAATAATAAAGTACATCTTTTTTAAGTTTTCTATTTAATCAACTTTATGGCCAAGGCAGTAGACTTAATTGAAAATGTTGGGGTTCTCTTCTGGTCCCCTAACTTGTGGGGGTCCCAGTGTTGATTTTCAATGAATTCCAAATGACTACTTCAGTTACTCGATATAATCTCAATATGTACTGAAATTTTCATTAAAATTGGGGAATACTGCTACAAAATACACTTGAAAAGCAATTGAGGCATCAAGGGGTTTATAGGGTCATCCTGGGGGCCCCCTCATGCATTTTTAAAAATCTAACAACCGATTTCTATCTCATTGTAAGAGCGTAACAAACATGCAAAATTTCATCAAAATCAAAGCAATTTGAATTTTTTTGGGTCCCTTTGGGGCACCCTGGGGGTCCCAGTGTCGAGAGAAACGAAAATCAATATAACGTATAATAAGCGTGACAGTAAGTTGCATGCACTTATCAAGTTTCATTAAAATCGGCTTTAGGGTTTAGACTTCAAGTCTGAAAGTTTAAAAACAACCAAATGGAAATTCCCATTTAAACATTATATTTATTGATTATCAGTTATTGATTTTTGAAAAATGACAAATTTTTTTGCCCAGACACACCCAGTATCAAGTACAATCGATGTTCCAAATTTGGTGGAAATATGCCTTATGGTTCTCGAGTAGTTCGTGAACACACACACACACACATTCAGTTATATATATAAGAAATCAATCTTTAAAATTCAGTAGTCTGTTGATTTGGTGTTGCTTTCAAACAATTTTTTAAGGTAGAAAGGGTTTCTTTAAGAACATAAGGAAATAACTTTTATTACAACAATTTTTAAACTGCGTCCCTATAAAAATGCAATGTCTGTAAATCTATAAAATCTTACAAATGTGATTTGGAGGCATAAATAAGGAAATAAGTTTTATTAAGACATTATCTGTAAACTATGTCCCTATAAAAATGCAATTTCTGTAAAGCTATAAAATCTTAGAAATGAAGTTTGGAGTCAAATAAAAACAGTGGACAAGTTGTTATCATAGATGATTTGCTTCTGTGTCTTGTTTTTCAAGAATGTTTTCTGGAAATTATCCGAAAGGAAGACTCTGAATATGATTTTAAAATTCAGTTACCAAATTTAACTCAAACTATTGTTGCCATTAAATATTTATTTTGGTAAAATTCAAATAAAACAAATTGGTTACTTTTTCTTTGAGTTCTCCAATAAGTTACTAAAAGTTATTTTTACTAAAAGTTATTTTTACTAAAAGTTATTTTTACTAAAAGTTATTTTTACTAAAAGTTATTTTTACTAAAAGTTATTTTTAAAAACAAATGCTTACCTGTTTTATTTACTGTATTTGCTTGTTATTTGATTTAATTCTGAAGAGGATCATTATGAAAAATGCACAGTGGAGTAATGGATAGTGGCTCAGATTGAGGAATCGGAGAGCAGAGTTCTAATTCCAGTCAAATCCATTAATCCAGTGCTTCTACCCCCAGCTATGGGTAAATAGCAGGACAAACTGGGTTCTATAACCTCGGATAGCAACTGGTCTACTGCAGAAAGAAATGGCAACCTACTGCAGAAAAAAATCTGCCTCGTCAGTCATGTACCGAACAATACATGATCTCCTAAGCGTGTATTACATATGACACATAACTGGCTGATGAAAAATGCCCTTATCTCATTATGGAAACTTGTAGTTTTTAATTTATTGATTTGTTTTTTATGGCTTATCAACTTTTTGCAGGTTATTTAAAGCCAGAAAATGTTTTCTTTTTAGAGTGTAAGAATTTTTTAGGAGATAATAATGATTTACTGATACAAGTCCTACTAATTAACCCATAGTTGAAGGGGAGAGAAGAGATGGATTCATACCTTTCCCAAGGGTATTTGCACATAAGTGAATATAACGAACAAGACTGAAATTAGAACTTGGCTCTCTGATTTTCAATTCAGTTATCCATTACACCACCTGCACATCCAAGCTTACAGCACCTAGTATTCTCAAGTGGTCACCAATCTAGGTACTGACCAGGTGCAATGTTGCTTAACTTTTGTGATTGTTAGAGAACTGGTGTTTCAACATGATGTAGCCATAAGCCTTTGTAGTTTTTAAATAATGGAGACATGTAAATGATATACAAGATTAAAAAGAAAAAAAAATACTCCTCTACAATATGAAAATATTTTTAAGATTTAAAAGAATACTGGATACTTACTTTATTTTTAAACTGCATTAATTTCTTGTGACGCTCTTGGTCATCCGTCTTTATAAATATATTATGGTCCTTTTCAATTTTACCGATCAGGTCTTCTCATAGAAAAGTTACCATTAAATGTTAAAAATTAAGAAAGTTCTTTAAGAACATAATCTTCTCTCTTGATTACTCAAAGAAGCTATGGAAATTGCAAAAGATATTTTGTTGTCTTCGTTTCATGAAGATATACAAGCATACATGCTAAGTACAAATCAAAACTTAACTATAAGAAATACTATGAAAAATAATACCCATTTGTATTGTCACATGACAATGTCACATGACAATAGGTATTATCTTTTCTTAGTTCCCACCTTTAGGCAAAAGCTATTTACGTCTTACAGATTATTTGATCTGTCTACTTTGCTAGGAAGAGCATGTGAACAGAGCCTATGTTTTGTCTTTATAACTTGCTAAAAAATATTCCCAAAGGGTTATATGTGTACACAAGCATATGTGTGGATCATTTTAAATACAGGGTTATAATGACAGCCTCATTCTGATATTGCATAGTAATTAATCTTGTGTTGTAATACAGCCAATGTTGCATTAATGAGGATTTTATGCCAAGATTGTGTATATGTGTATGCATATGTATATCATAGCTAAGCATGGATTGCTTATAAAAGCGGTTTCTACTTTCTTATAGTCTATGTTCAGGTCATTAAAAGCTCTGAAATTACAAGATCATTTTTTATGTAGTTTTTATATAGATTTTAAGATGTTTTTATTGGTTTATTTAAACACAAGCATAGGAGTGAAATGTGACTTAAATAAAACTAGACAGAGTAGATTTTTATTAAATGGAACATAGATTTAATCAAGCAAGAACTGAATCAACATTTTAAATCAGATTGTCTTTTAAATGCAAATCCATTTAAAAGGAATAATTACTTAGGAGGGACAGAAATTCAGACTCTTGATATGTTTCACTTAAGCAGAGTCTGTTTATTTCCAAAGGTGCCACACACTGGGATCAGACCGACCAATAACGTCAGGAAGTCTCTTTCCTGAAAAATCAACCTTGGTAAGATTCAAACCCAGGTCTCATAGTCAGAAAGTACTAACTAACCACTCAGCCACACACACACACACACACACACACACACGCACACATATATATATATATATATTATGAGGATATGAGGAGGCACGGTGGAGTAATGGACAGCGGCTTGGATTGAGGAATCATAGAGCCGAGTTCAAATTCCAGTCGAATCCATTACATTCACTTACGTGTTAATACCATTGGGAAAGGTGTGAATCCTCTTCTTCTCCCTCCAGCTATGGGTAAATAGCAGGACAGATCGGGCTCTATAGCCTTGGATGGCAACTGGTCTAGGAGAAGGACAACTCTGAATTCAAAACCTGCGGAGGGTTGTTTGGGGACCTTGTGGCACATAGTGCACCAGGTCTCTGTATTCAGTCCTTCAAAAGTGTGGATGGTCCTGCACAAAACCTTCACCACTATAATCAAATCTCATGTGCTGTTGTCAGGCTGTTGGTTTCCTAGGAACTGATCTGCCTGACTTTCATACGTCGAATTCGACAGGAGAGTCAAGTATATATATAACATGAAAATTAATGTGTAAAGATTTGAAGGTAAAAAAAGGCTCCAAATTGATGTTATAAAAACCTGTCAAGATGAAGCCAGGTAATTTAAACTTTCCATAGCAAAAGTTTTACAGTTTGATCCTGGCTTTAATGTTTTCAAAAACCAGCCAAACTTGAATTGAGAATGCACAGTTTTGATCCAGTTTTCATTTTCATCTTTGCTATATATCAAGGAAAATTTTGACTGCAAAAGCAAAAAGGATTAAACCACACTCGGGCAAAAGGCTGCTGCTGCTGCTGAGAAGGAATCAAACAAAAGATTGTCATCAGGCGGAAAAGGTTTGTTGTGGCCTGAAAAGTCTGCTTTTGCTGAGAAAAGAAATAGACCATGAAGTGACTTGGGATGACACAAGGCTATTACTGTTACTGACAAAGAAGAGGAAAAAGAATCTTCTAAACACTCATAATACGAACGACTTTCATTGACTTGTGAGATTTTAATTCAAATTCGAAGATACCTGCTCCAAAATTCTGAACACTTGTCAAAAGGACCCTGAAAAGCAGCATCGCTCATGTAGGTCAACCTTTTCTCACCTGACTTCAAACTTCAATCTTCAAATTTCAACTTTCAACCTTTGAACCAGTGTCATTCTGAATTGTGAACTTTTCAAAATAAATATCTTTTGTTGCTAAGAAATTGGTTTATATGAACTGTTGCTTTAAGAGAAAACTGATTTGTATTTGAAAGAGCTGTTAACCTGCCTTGATATTTGGAGATGCACAGAGAAATTTTGTGTATTGTGAAAATTTTTTGGTAAACTTAACAAAATGGCAGTTTTTCCCTTGACACCACTATTATTTTAACTACCCCCACTCCTCTGCAATGTTTATTCTTTTAAAAAGCAATGATTAGAATTGTAATAAAACCTGAACATATGAAAGTGAATTCATACACTTTATTTTGCTCTTGTGAATTTACAACAAAAATAGTAAATACTATTTATTTATTAGATTGTTTATTGGAATGGTTGGTAAAACATCAGCTAATTACCAATTGATTTGAACTTTATAAAATGGTAAATAATAAAGATTTACTTATAGTTTGTTCTCATATTTTAATAATTTAGTATTAGTTTTGAAATTTATGAATAAAAAATTGTTTTCATATTTATTTTTTTATAAATTGGTAAATGATAAATATTGCATTGCATTGCATTGGGGTTTTTTTTAATTGCAGTAATTTTTAGAATGTTGTAAATATAAAATTATTCTTATAAATAAACAATCTAATAAATAATGTTTAATATTTTTGTTATAAGTTCTCAAGAACAAGAAAATGTATAAACTCACTTTCATCATATGTTTAGGCTTTATTAAAATTCTAATTATTGCCTTTTAAAACAACATTACTGAGGAGTGAAGGTATTTAAAATAATAGTGGTGTGAAAGGAAAAACTGTCCTTTTGACACTTCATTTTTTTGTGGGCACAAAGGTCCATGTTTGCCAATATTTTTATGGTAATAAATGTTTCTCTGCAAATTACACTTGTTGTAAGAGTTTTCTTGTGTTTTTTTTTTTTTCATGTGCATCATTTGAAATACTCAGGATAAGAAATTTCTTCATTTCTCCACTATATCCTTTTAATATTTCTTATCTTGGCCTTTTCTCTGACCTGTGTCGACTTCTTTCTATCTCTGTAAGTTATTCCAAGTATTGCCTTTTCCACTAATATTTGTGCATTTTTAAGCTTGTCTTCTAGCAATGTTACTAATTTCCATATTTTGTACCTGGCATTATTTGATTAATTTATTCCTTTCTAACAACTTACCAACCCTGTGCAGGTTATTTAAAGCCAGAAAATATTTTTAGATGGTAAGAATTATATTTTTTTTTTTTTTTGAGATTTAGTAATATAAGTCTTACTAATTAACCCATAGCTGGGGGAAGAAGAGGTGGATTTAAACCTTTTCCAAGGATATTTGTACAAAAGTGAATATAGCAAAGTTAATGATTAAAAATTCCAAGCCATTATCCATTACACCACTCACACAGCCAAGCTTACAGCACTTGGTATTCCCAAGGTGTCACCCATCTGACCAGGCTTGACATTGCTTAACTTCAGTGACATTGCTTGACTTTAGTGTTCGTACAGGAACTGGTGTTTCAACATGATGTGACTTTAAGTCAAAGGAGAAAAGGTCAGAGGAGGTGAAAGCATAAGAAAAATATTGTGCCCCATTCAACTAGACAATCAGTCTAGTTAACAAAATAATAATATAAAAACTGACATTTTTGTTTGATGACTGGTATTGCTATTGAAAATCATGATATCACCAGCCAGTATTTAAACCATCCTGCAGAATTTCTCACTCGTTTCTGCTTATCAGCTTTGAATTAAATCATGAAAGTTATTGAGGATATGCCCAGTAATAGTACACTAATAATTTAATTACACAAAAACATAAGATAAAATAAAGATTGGAAAAGGAATGAGATATGGGGGATATGATTTCACTTAAATTATTTGCAGTATTTTTCAGCAGAAGAATTAAGAAGAAACAGGAAAAAACAAAAATGGAGGATATTTGAATATTCTATCATCTGCTGATGACATTTTACTAATGTCAGAGTTACTGGAGTAATTACAAGAAATACTGAATGACCTGAATAGGGAAAGTCACAATGAAGGTGTGGAGTTTGCTACAGAATTTTGCTTTTTACATTCAAAATAAATGCTGAGCGAATATTGTTTTGGAAGGTTTACTTTTTTTATGAATACAAATTGTGTCCTTCTTGTGAGACAGAGTTCATAGCTTGCAGCATGTTGGAAATGAGAGAGAGAGAGAGAGAGACCCTCCTTTTTTGTAGCAGGCAGTCATTCTGGTTAATTTTTTAGCAGTTAGAGTGGAGTGGACCAGCCTGTCCTGTTTCCTAGTGAACGGGTACAGGAGACTGACATCAAAGCCCTTTTTCCTGGGTTTATATTGAGGTGAGTGTCGTAGGATTGTCCTTTGCTTTGGTACTGGATCTTTGATTTTTTTTTGTTTCACTTATCTAAGTATCTGATTTCAGAAACAAAGGTAGTTGATTGACCTGATCCTAAGAATGCCAGTGTTAATGTTATTAAGGTGTTAAGGAGATGATAAATAGGTGATGTGTTTCAGGAGATTTAAGAAATATTTTTTATTTTATTTTATTTATTTTAAACTCTGCCTACTACTACAAAGTTTTAAAGATGAACAGAAATAAAACCAATGTCCAGTTGTAGCATTCTGAAAATGCTAACCAGGAATAGAGAATGAAGAACTGGATAAATCTAGGAATACATCTGTTTATGCAAGTGATAATATTAAGAAAGATCATGAAAATGCAATAAAATAATGTATAACTATTGTTTGAAAAGCATTTGATAAAACTACAGGCCTTGCTGATATGTTTAAAAAAGTAAAGAACATAGTGAATGATATGATCACCAAAGTTAAGCAACATCAAGCCTGGTCAGTACCTAGATAGAGTATTTGCTATTTATATGCAAATACTCTTGGGAAAAGTATGAATCCACCTCTTCTCCCCTTCTTTTAATTAGTTAGACTTATATCACTAAATCATTATTCTCCTCAAAAAAAAATTCTTACAATCTAAAAATATTTTCTGGCTTTAAATAACCTGCAACAGGTTGATAAACCATAAAAAATGAATGAATCAGTCAATCAATCTTAATCTAAAATATATCTCTGGTCACCTCCAGTGACCTTTACCCCCAAAAATATAATTAATTTTTTTTTTTTTAAAAGCATTATACCCCAAGCAAGGCGTGAAGCCACTAGGATGCAGGGGTTGCAGAAGATTTGGGCCGAGAGCAGATAGGATTGATAGAAGAAAGGATGAGGAGAAGGATAGTGGGTAGATCAAGGTAACTGGAGATGTCGATTGACATTACATTTGAATAGATGGAGATTATAGCTTTCAGGGGAAACAGTAATTGGGAGGGTGTTCCACTGGCGAAGGTCACAGTGTGAAGCTATTGGTGTGAGAAGAGATGGCTACATTTGAAAGTTTCTCACGGGGGTAAAGGTGGGAGGCGGGATGCCAGCCTCATGGTTAAACGCTTGAATTCATGGAGTCTTAGAACCAGTGAAAGCAGCTCATCAGAGCAATTACCATGGAATATTTGTGAAAAAAAAGACAGAGGAGGCGATGGCGCATCTGTGAGAGAGTGACTGCCAGACGAGACGCTAGATCAGGACCAATTAGATTATATATCCGTCTCTGGATCTTGTCAAGAACTCTGAGGTAAGCAGAAGGTGCTCCAGCCCATATATGGCAGCAGTACTCCATGCAAGGGCGAATGGTTGTTTTGTATATTTGGAGTATTGATTCAGGGGAGAAAAATTTCCTGGCGCGGCACAGAAATCAGTAAATAATAATCTCTCAAAAATTCTTACAATCTAAAAAATATTTTCTGGCTTCAAATAACCTGCAACAGGTTGATAAGCCGTAAAAAATGAATGAAACAATCAATCATTTACACCCTTTTCCTCCCCTCCTTTTCATCACTTTTCCCAATTTCATCTTGTTTAATATCATTAATTAGGTTTCTTGGTTAGAAAGTGTTATTGATTCAAACTAAGATTATCTGGATTGTAGATAAAAAGAAAAGAAAGTTCAATAGTGTAAAATTAGTAAATACTAAACACTTCAAATACCTTGGTGTATGGATCAGTTATATCAAATTTAGTATAGAAGATAAGGAAATCGAATATAGAATACTAGGCACTAGAGGTAATTTTGCCCAACATGCAAATTGCTACAAAACAAAAACATTAACCTGAAAAGTCAAGTCATTTTAACTTTGTCAGATGGAAACTTTCATATGAATGTCATGCATGGCATGCTAAACCTGTTCTGAAATATCTAAACTTTCAGTTGTATGCAACTGCATTCTAAGATCAATCATTAAAAATGACTTTGTACAAATGAAAAATGTGGATCTTTGCTAAGAGAATCCTTTTTTGGACTTGTGGATCAGTGCTACAGAATCATGAACAAAGAATTGTAGCAAATAACCAGAAAACAAATCATTTGAGGACTACCAACAGCAGCAGCAAAAGCTAAAATGGATACCACAACATATAACTTGAAAATAAAATAATGACATCATTAAAATTCCACACTGCTCCAAATAAAAGGTTAGGAAGGAAATCCCCATCAATACTGAAAAGAGTGATAACAGCTACTGGACTTGAGAAATTTATTTTCCTAAAAAATTGTTTCAAGAGAAAGATTTTATAAATATTAAATAATAGTCATACTGAATGCTTGGTCAATGAATGCCAAATGTTTCCTTATAAAGAAACGGCTGATATTACCATTTCTAACCATCATATCACCTCCCCTTTGCTACTCCATTCACGTGATTGAGGGCAGACATTATATATCTTCATAACCTTGACCTTCAATTTAATATAGCAAGTTCATTTAGATTTATAATAAACCTATAATGTCTTTTTAGTTGTTTCAATATTACGAACTTAGTCTGAATACTTTTCAGCAAAATTTTGATACTTTTTGTACTTCGTAGAAACTTTGGATTTATATTCTTTTGATTTTGAGCGCAATGGCAGGCCCAGTTAATATTATTATACTCCCTTATCATATAACCTGGTGACTTCTTGCCAAATGGGAGGAGGAGGAGGAGGCAAATTGCAGGCATCCTGGTCTTTGTGATCAGGAGCCTGAACAAGTTATGTATTGAGTTACGTGCCCATTTATTTTTGTTCTGCCAACTAGATGCTAGTTAGGCTTTCCTATCAATTGTTACTTCTGCCCTTTATTATTTCCAGCTACCATGGGCTCTTACTTCTGGCATTCATAGCCTTTATTATTTCCAGCTACTACAGACCCATACATACAGCATTCCTAGCCTGGCCCATTATTATTTCTGGCTACCATGAAGCCTTATCATCCAGCATTACTGGCCTTTATTACTTCTGGCTACCATGGACAGTATTCCTGGCCTTTATAACCTCCAGCTTTGCACTGATCCCTACTTCCTGCATCTCTATCTCAACTTAACTCATCTGGTTGATTTGCATTAATGGACCTGCTTACAACAGCCCTGAACTCTGGCTATGCATAGGTCCCTGCTTTCGGCTTTCCTATCAACCTAACTCACCTGGTTTAGGAAATTGCTGCATGCATATTGTTGAGACTCAAACAACCTATTTCTGTACACTTCAGTTAAATACTACAGAAGGTTCACCATTGGACTTAACAAGTAACTACTCAACGCCACTGACAGATATTTAAATTAAATTCTCTTCTCTTTGGCTATATCGTCAGGACTACAAATAAATAACCTACTCCGTACACTTCGGTTAAAATACTATAGAAGGTTCATCATTGGACTTAACCAGCAACTTTTCAACACTTCTGCCGGATATGTGAACTGAACTTTTGAACAATGGACTTAAATGCCAACTTAACTTACATGGACTCTACTTTTAACATTTAGTCACAGTTATATTATCTCAAATCTTCTAGCCGACCATCAGTATTTCTCAATTTATTTAATTCTGCCTCCATTACTTGAATCCTTGTTTGTTCACGTTCCTTTTTTGCAAACTAAACACATACTTTCGTATATGATGTAAAAATAAATTTTGCATAATCTTTTCAAATATCCTCGTTCTGTTGTCCATTTTTGCTCTACCTGTCAGATTTCTCGTCTTTTATTTTTGAAAAGTTTAGTGGGCCTCTTCTGACTCATACTTATTTGAGGCGCAAAAGCCATATATCGCGTAGACAAATAAGCAGATGAATGGTCTATTCCCTGTTAAATAAAAATACTTTTCAGAAGGAACGTATTTTGAGATGCACCGTTGCTTAAGGCAGTCGTCACTTGACGCTATGTATGGGTAACAATACAACGGGACTGATTGATTCTTTTAAAAGAAAATCTTTCTTAAATATACTCTAAAAAGACAGTGAAGGGTTTAGTGTGACAACTAGCCATCGTAATAAGTGAAAACTAAAATTATTCTTATATGCTGAATTTATTTACGACAGCCTGAATATGGTCTACCAGAAAATGGCGGCAGAGAGAAAAGAGTCCGGTTTGTGTTGATTTCTTTTCTATAAAATCCGTGATTAAAAGGTTAAAAATAAAAGGTTGATGAATTTGATTTGAATCTAGTTTTAAATTTACTGATTTCTGAAGTGTACACGAAGATATTTTATGTCCATTATTTTCATTCTATTCTCTTTTTTTGCAGCAACTCAGTTTCACAAATTTTTATCAGAAACTTTTTTAAAAAACATTTTAGTTATTTCATGTTTAGTTTTAAACTTCTGTCCAAAAAAAATACCAAGAAAGTAAATTAATTATCAGTAGAATTCTGATATTTTCTAAGTATACTGCTCAAAGCAATTTCGCGTGGAAAATACACTTTCACTTTTTTTTTTTTTTTAACTAGCCTCATATTCTGATTTTTTATATTTGAAAAGTCCTACATCAGAAAGAAAACGAAAAATTTCGTTGGAAATGCTATGTAATTTATTTCACCTATCAATAAAATAAACAATGTCCGTGAAAACTAAAAGGGGGAAATTTGGAAGTCAGAACAAGAATATTTTTCGACTTAGAATTTATTTGCTTAGGATTTGGGCTTTTTATTTTGTTTATGTAGTAGGCAAAACTTCAACCATCATAAATTCACTCAGAAACCAAATCTTAAACATAATTATTATTATTATTATTAACAAATAAAAAATGTGGCACAAGGTACTAAAATTTTGGGAGAATATGTTGATCATCTTCACTAGTTACCTGACCACCACGAGGTACCAAACGAAAAATGCATAAAAAAATGCCTTCTTTGAACTTATGTTTTTATAAATCAGTTAACAAACAAAAAAAATTGATTTCTGTATATAAAGTTTTTAGGCATTTTTAAAACAATGGGCATGTTCAATGATCATTTTTTATATCGACTCCTCAAACCGCCATTATAGACGAAAAATGTAAACAGCAAATTAAAAATTCTCTTAAAAAACAATATTTGTCTTCTTATTTCAAAGTTATTTAATACGCTTATGGATTAATTAACTGGACTTTGCAAATGTAATGCTCACTTTTTGCTTAAAACATAATGAAAATAATGTTTACGGTGTAACCTGTGGTCAATCAATCAATCAACTAATTATCCTTTCGATCCCCTCCCTTAAAAATTACGCTAAAAAATTAAAAAGCAAGAAGCAAAACATTGATATTTTAATTTTTATGCTTAAGGTTAATTTATATTTTTAATTAACTCTAGTCTATAACCAATAGTTTAAGAATTTTTTAAAAATTCTGTACAACTTTATGAAACTTAGTAAAATTAGTATTTATATTTTTTCTGCTACATAATTAGTTGTTTCTTTTTTTTATTTAAAAATGATAGTTTACTTTGCTTTTTTATTATTTTCTTACTTATTTGATGTCATAAAATATCTAATAATTGCACCCATCGATGTCTTTCTAGTTATCCGGAATTAATCAATCAAAGCAAAGGTGGTAATAATTCTTTTTTTTTTTTTTTTAACATCCATACAAAAAATAATCTAACAGTTGCTAAAATAAAAAAAATACATTAAAATTCTTTTAAAAATTGTTCACTCGAAAATGGCATTTAATTTTTAAACTTACATTTTTCAATTCTTCAAACCTGTCTTTAATAAAAATAAAATAAAAAAATTCTTATGAACAGCAATGCGATGTTGATGTTTTGGGTTTTAGTTTGTTTTTTTTCTATTGAATCTGAAAGAAAATAACTTTTTTTATTAAATTATGTAAACAAAACACCAACAGTTAATTTAATTTTTTTTTTTATTGAATTATTTTTGGCAAGGTTCAAGAAGACGAATCTCTCATTTGTTCCTGCTTCGTATTGCATTAATTTTTCTATGAAATAACTTCTGGGATTTTTCTTTTTAACTGTAAAAAAAAAAATTACGAACATCCAATAAAAAGCACACAAAAGATATCGAAAAAGGAGTCTGGATTTCCACAGTAAAATATTCAATAATGAATATTTGAACCTGATAATTTCCTGATTTTTGGCAAACGGTTTTGGTAGCCATTTTTTTTTTTTTAAATAATTTCACCCCAAGCAAGGCGATAATGCCACTTGGATGCAAGGAGTTACTGACAGTCAAAGTAAGAGAATGAGAAATCTTTGATGAGGAGAAAGAACAATAAAAGAAGAGGGTTCAAGAAGACAAGATGGCAATGGGCATTGCATTTAAATTTTTGAAAAATTGTAATTGGCAGGGAAGCAAGAAATCTGAAGGGAGTTCTGCAGATGTGAAGTATGAGAAAAGTGAACTACTAGAATAGAACAGATGGTTGCATCTAGATAGTTCAATAGTAAAACCGAGAACTAGTTACCAATCTAGTAGCATGCTTACCTTGATGCAGATGAGGCACTAAACTCATCAGATCAATTGCCACGAAAATATTTGTAGGAAAGGCAGAAGGAAGCCATGCCACATTGGTGGGAAAGTGACTGAAGTAGAGATGCCAGGTCAGGATCGATTACATTGCAGACCATCCTTTGAATTTTAAGAATCCCTATATATATATATGTAAAGATTGCCAGACCACATATGGCAACAATATTCAAGGCATGGTGAAATGGTAGATTTATAAATGTACAAGATCTTTAATTTTGAAAAAAAAACTCATTTATTTTGGCAGTACTTAATATTAGTTGCATTTACAGTGGAGTTAGACAATAGAAACTGTAACCAGCTATAATCATTTTTAGTTTTTATTCCATATTAAATTTTTTCTGATTAACTTTTATAACATTTAATTAAAATTTGTTCATCTTCATGATTTTAGAGTGCTATTCAGTAAAAAACATTTCAGTTCACAGTGTCGGTTTTCTAACTCCATCATAACATCCCATTTATTCTGAAATCATTTGTGCAGCAGTCACTGAAAGGTCACATCCTCTCTATGATAATCTAAGTCCATATTAACAATTTCATATCAGGGTGCGGGATAATAGAACTAGGATTCAAATACTACAACTCAAGTTTTTCTGCTGATGATTTAAATGAAACCAAATGTATTTACAAAAATGTTTTGGCATTGGAAAAATCCAGGGAAAGAGGAATCAAATCCCTTATCATTGGCTGGAAAATCCAACCAGTACTATGAAGCAATACTATTATCATCTCCCTTCCATGGCAGAGGTGAACAGGATTAAATCCCATCACCTGGTGTATTGGATTTACAAATATACTATATTTGATAGAATATACCAGCAATCCCCAAACCTTTTGAACCATGGACGGAAGTGGGGGTCATTGTTGGTGGCACACATAAAGCAAAAAAAAAACAATAGTCAATAAAATGGGGAAAAACATTTTTATTCTTTCCAGTGCAGCCTGGCACCAAATGATCTGTGGTCTGGTGGTTAGGGAATGTTAGTAAGTATATATATATATATATATATATATATATATATATATATATATATAATCCCACATATCGTAATTTCTTAAATAATATAAAATTTTTTTTTTTTTCTTTTACTATAATTTCGTTATTGATTTATAATAATAATAAATGTGTACTTGTTCTAAAATAAGAAAGATATTATCCCAATTTTCATTTTAATTTCAACAATAATAATTGTAACTTTTTTTTTTTTGTCAATAAATTTGTTTATCAGTAACCCCATTTTTTATTTGGTGAAAAAATAAAAAATCTATAAAAAAGCCAATTTCAAAGAAAAGAGAATATCAAGTTAACAATTTATTGAAATTTTAACTGTCATCATCATCACTTTCTATTTTAGAATCAAGATCTAAATTGTCATTAATCAAATTATCATTCACAATATCTTCGTCTTGTTCAAAATTATCTTTGGCCTTTTCATTCTCTTGCCAAAGGATGTCATCTTCAAAGCCATCCATGGCTGTTATGAGACAACACGTCTTGAAACCTCTCTTTATAACATCTTCACTGATGGAATCCCAAGATTCCTGAATCCATTTTACAATAAGTTCCAACTCTGGTTTTCCTGTTGCCACCAACAGTAAAACTGGTAACACCAGAAAGCATCTCTTGTTTAAATGGATGGTTGCAGACAACATCCATTACTTGAAGTTGGCCAGTTATTCCTCCTGGTATAATAACAAGATCAGTCCTTCCATGTTTTGACAACATTTTGATGGTAAAATAAAATGTTATATTTATCGGTAAAACCGCTGGTAATTTTCAACATTATTTTAGCTGCTTAGTTTCGATTTTATTCTTAATGTCAAGGTTGACAAAATGTCATCATAATTATTTTTTGACAAAATTTATAGATGCGTATTGTACATAGGGATAGATATATTTCTTAATTCTTGAATCATTTGTTGGAGTGCATATTATTTTCAAGAAATTACAGTATCCTCCTCCCAAAGGAATAACTTAAAAAAATATTTCCCAGATCTTATTTTCTGCAAAGTTTAGGTATCTGGATGTACCTAGCTAAACTCCAAAATGCTGTAATATTAAATGTAAAATGTTAACATTAGCTGCTTCCTTTATAAGGAAACATTCAGCATTCATTAACCAAGCAGACATTGACACCATCCATTAATATTTATGAAAACTTTTCAAGAAAATAGGTTTCTTAGGTCTAGTTGCTGTTATCGCTCTTTCCAGTATTGATGGGGGGAGAGGGGTTTCCTTCCTAACCTTTTATTTAAAGTAGTGTGGAATGTCGGCATCTTGATTGTCATTATTGTTTGAGTTACATGTGGTATCCATTTTAGTTGTTGCGGCTACTGAAAGTCCTCAGGTGATGCTGTTTCTATGATCTGGTGCAGTTCTCTGTTTGGGATTCTGTAGCACCAGCCCATGAGGTTTGAAAAAGTATGGTCCTTGCTAAGACCTACATGCTCAAAGCCATTTTTAATCATCAATCTGAAGAAGTGTTTGTCTGTGGCTGACAGTTTAGATATTTCTGAATGAGTTCAGTGTCAGCTGCGGAAAGAAATTTAAAGGGGAGACAGGCCACCCCCTTAAGGTAAGGCTTCAAGAACACCAGAAAGCTGTAACACAGAGGGAAGTGGAAAAATCAGGCATGGCTGACTACATATGGATAGAAAAGGGAGATCATTGCCCTCTGTGGAATCAGGTTGAGATCATAGACAAAGAACATCATTGGAAAATTTGTAAACTTAACTAATCAGCACATATGCTAGGCCACAAAAATCTCCTGAGCCGACCAAGCATAGAAATGAATACAATATGGGAACCAGTAATAAGGAGTGCCAGAGAAAAGCAATAATAACAACAAAAACTGCAATATGAACTCTGGTAAAAACATGTAAAGATAACAGCAGAAATTGCAATATGAGCACTAGTAAAAAATGAAGCTGAAGACATTAGGTCCTTGAGGACATCTGTGTATGAATTTCTGGGTTAATACCCAGAAATTCATACACAGATGTTCTTAATGACATGTGGCACAGTGGATAAAGGCGTTAGTTGGATCCAATGACAGGACCTAAAGAGTGTGAGTTCAATACCTGGTTGGAGAACTTAGAGAGGGAAATTAACTGATAACTAAATAAAAAAAAATAAAGGGTTCAGTTCAACATTTCAACCACCTGAAGAATGCCAGAGAGTACAACAGCTAAAGAAAGATGACGACTGTAGTCCAAATAATGTAAATAGTGTCATGTGTTCTATTAAAGTATCTATTTGGATTTATATAATAAAATATTGAATAACTGCATCAAAAGAAATAAAAATACTATTTTATCAAAGTATATGCAAAGCTCACATAACTAGAAGGAATATTTTGGTGGTATTTTTTTTTTCTTTTCTGAAAAATTATGCATCTATGATGATTGTTGACCAGAAATGTTTTTTTTTTTTTTAATTATTGTTTTGTAATTGAAGAACATTGTATTTCCATTCTTTCGTTGTCATAATTTTGGAAATAATGATTTATTCTTTCCTGTTTTTGTTACCCTATTTATAGGACGAATTCGTGAAGCTGACAAGAAACGGATTCTCGATGAAGCTGCCCGTAAAAGACGAGCCAGGAAAGCACTGGAGGCCCTGGAGTCTGATAACTTTCAGGCTGACCCCCATGCTGACCTCAAAATGAGTAAAAAGGCTCCCAAATTTGAAGAATCAATGGAAAATTCCAACTCTGGTATGTTTTTTTTGTTTGTTTGTTTTTTTGGTGGGGTAGGGTGAGGGAGTTGTGTGTTTTTTTTTTTTTGTAGATTTTACATACATTTGGTATACTTATTTTTTAATTTGGCTCTCAACATGTCCTTTCCTTTGTTGTTCTCAGCAATACAGCCACTCTGTAATGATGTTAATGGCATCTTTGTAATGTTCCTCAGACTTTTACTTTTAAAATTTGATAATAAAAATCCAGACAGTTCATGTTGCACATTGTACAAAAACTGATTTTTTTAACTTACTTCAAAATAAATAAAATGAAAAATAAAATTTTACCTGTACTGAATTTCCAGCATGCAAACCAATGTACAGAATATAGAGCTGATTTTTGAATTTCCTTATTATATATATATATATATATATATATATATTCATTTCTATGCTTGGTCAGCTCAGGAGATTTTTGTGGCCTAGCATATGTGCTGATTACTTAAGTTTACAAATTTTCCAATGATGTTCTTTGTCTATATATTGTATAAAAAATGGTTCAAAAGTGACATTAAAGGTATCTGAAGCAAACCCATTACATGTTTAATGTGATTGAAATAGTAATCGAGTACAACTTCTCACTTAGCAACCAGGTTGTTGGAATGGAACCCAGTTGTCGAGTGAGTAGTGGTTTTATGTACTTCTTTCTGACCCTTCTTTGTTTGTACCTGTCGTACCTGTTCATCAATCCATCTATTTAATCAAACTTCTCAAGTAGGTTACTCGCTACTTTGTAAAAAGTTGGGTTCTGCTTTGACTTCATTATTATTTTAGTATCAATGCAAGCATTTTAACCTTTTCTATGTCCTCGGCTTTTAGACTCTCAACAATATCTGACCACAGGACATCATTCGCTAATTGACCTCGTTAGACATCAAGTTAACATGATTACAATTGAACTAGAAACAAATCTAGATTGACTATTGTCAGGTGGCAAAATATATTGACTTATTTTTCTTTGTCTTAAAGAAATTGCACAATTTCCTTGTCTGTTGGATTTGACATGCAATATTTCGATTACAAATGACATTTTGCTGTAGGCTATTTAAAAAATGCTATATCTACATTGTATGCATTAAGTTCTATTCAATGAACAATATTTGTTACCCTGCATAGGGATTGAACTTACATCCTCCAGGTAATAAAAACTAATGCTTTGTAGGATTAACCTGTCTCCCCTGCTGGTTCAGATGAGTTCAGACCAAGTAGCTCAATTTAAGCTAATTGGTTTTCTCTGGACGGGGTAGACACTTTCAGTTGCCTGGTGAATACTTGTCTGAGTAATTCAGGAGTGAACAGACTTTCTGTTGCCTGGATAATATCCCTAAGATAATTTAACATGCATTTTTTTTTTTCTTTCATTGTCTTCAGGAAGTGCCCGCAAGAAAAAGAAGAATAAAGTTGATCAGCTAAAACGATGTCGGAAAACGTTCACTGCTTTATTAGAAGAAGAGGTAAAAAAAAAATTTCTTCTTGCAACTATTTTTTCTTCTCTCTTTTTCTTTTTTCTTCTCTCTTTTTCTTTTTTCTTCTCTCTTTTTCTTTTTTCTTCTCTCTTTTTCTTTTTTCTTCTCTCTTTTTCTTTTTTCTTCTCTCTTTTTCTTTTTTTCTCTCTTTTCTTTTTTCTCTCTTTTTCTTTTTCTTTCTCTTTTCTTTTTCTTCTCTTTTTTTCTTTTTTTTCTCTTTTCTTTTTTTTTCCTTTCTCTTTTTTTTTTCCCTCTTTCTCTTTTCTTTTTTTTCCCTCTTTTCTCTTTTTTTTTCTTTTTTCTTTTTCTTTTTCCCCTCTTTTCTCTTTTCTTTTTCCCTCTTTTTTTTTTCTTTTTCCCCTCTTTCTCTTTTCTTTTTTTTCCCCTCTTTTTCTCTTTTTTTTTTTTTTCCCCTCTTTTTCTCTTTTTTTTTCCCCTCTTTTTCTCTTTTTCTTTTTTTTCCCCTCTTTTTCTCTTTTTCTTTTTTTTCCCCTCTTTTTCTCTTTTTCTTTTTTCCCTCTTTTTTCTTTCTTTTTTCCCTCTTTTCTTTTCTTTTTTCCCTTTTTTCTTTTTTCCCTTTTTCTCTTTTTTTTTTCTTTTTTCTCTTTTCTTTTTTCCCTTTTTTTTTCTTTTTCTTTTTCCCCTTTTTTCTCTTTTCTTTTTTCCCCTTTTTCTCTTTTCCCCCTTTTCTCTTTTCTTTTCCCCCCTTTTCTCTTGTTCTTTTCCTCTCTTTTCTTTTTCCCCCTTTTTCTCTTTCTTTTCTTTTTCTCTTTTTCTTTTTTCCCCCTTTTTCTCTTTTTCTTTTTTCCCCCTTTTTCTCTTTTCTTTTTTCCCCTTTTTCTCTTTCTTTTTCCCCTTTTTCTCGTTTTTCTTTTTCTCTTTTCTTTTTCCTCCTTTTTTTCTCTTTTCCCCTTTTTCTCTTTTTTTTCCCTTTTCTCTTTTTCTTTTTCCTCCTTTTCTTTTTTTTTTTCCTCCTTTTCTCTTTTCTTTTTTCCTTTTCTTTTTCTTTTTCCCTTTTTTCTCTTTTTTTTTCCCCTTTTTCTTTTTCTTTTCCCCCCTTTTTCTTTTTCTTTTCCTCCTTTCTCTTTTCTTTTTCCCCTTTTTCTCTTTTTCTTTTCCCCCCTTTTCTCTTTTCTTTTTCCCCTTTTTCTCTTTTCTTTTCCCCCCTTTTTCTCTTTTCTTTTCCCCTTTTTTTTCTCTTTTTTTTTTTCTCTTTTTTCTTTTTTTCCCCTTTTTTCTCTTTTCTTTTTCCCCTTTTTTCTCTTTTTTTTCCCCCTTTTTTTCTCTTTTTCTTTTCCCCCCCCTTTTTTCTCGTTTTCTTTTTCTCTTTTTTTCCTCTCCCTTTCTCTTTTCTTTTTCTCCCTTTTTCTCTTTTCTTTTTTTCCTTTTCTCTTTTCTTTTTTTCCTCCTTTTCTTTTCTTTTTCCTCCTTTTCTCTTTTCTTTTTCCCCCCTTTTTTTTTTTCTTTTCCCCCTTTTTCTCTTTTTCTTTTTTCCCCCTTTTTCTCTTTTTCTTTTTTCCCCCTTTTTCTCTTTTTCTTTTTTCCCCTTTTCTCTTTTTCTTTTTTCCCCCTTTTTCTCTTTTTCTTTTTTCCTCCTTTTCTCTTTTTCTTTTTTCCTCTCCCTTTTCTTTTTCCTCTTTCTTTTTTTCTCTTTTTCTTTCTTTTTTCCTCTCCCTTTTCCTCTCCCTTTTTCTTTCTCTTTTTCTTTTTTCCTCTTTCCCCTTTCTCTCTTTTTCTTTTTTTTCTCTTTTTCTTTTTCCACCTTTTTCTCTTTTTTCCCCCCTTTTTATCTTTTTTGCCCTTTCCTCTCTCCCTCTCTCTCTGTGCAATCACTCTCCTACATGTCTTTCAGAAAAGCAAGACAATAAAACTTCACAAATAACAATCTTAATTCTATTACAGTTAGCAATTGTCCAAAATATCCTTGTAAAATCTGCATCTGATTGGCCAACAAATATGACCTTTCATAACCAAATAACTAGCACCAGATTGCATACAGATTTATTTGAATTATCTCTGCTTTTATGGGACTTAATGTTTTGTAATATATAAAAACCATCATTGATGGTGCAACATTGCATGTACAACATTTGAAATAAATCAATTTATTATAATGACAATTCTTTGTATGAGAAATTCAGATGAATTATTCAGTAAATATTCCTTTTTATGTAAAAAAAAAACCATTACTTCTTGAGATTGATAATGGTGGTTGGTTTTTCAGACAATATTATTCTGTGTATTATGGCTGAAATGTTTATAAGGAAAATAACAATCTGGTGAGGAAAGAAGTGCAGTGTACTTAGATAATTTTAAACATAAGCCCATTAAACATAAGCCCATTAATGACTAAGCCAAAAAAAAAATATTAAGACTGTTGCTCGCTTTTTGAAAATGACATAAAATCTAATATTTTTGTCACAAAGATTATTTAAATTCCGTTGTTTGATTATTTTTCAGCAAATGTTAGTCAAGGAACCACCAAACTATTTCTCAGCAGCTGTTCCACCTTCAAAATTTCCCGAGAAACATTTCTGTGCAGTTTGTGGATATCCTTGATTCTGCCTTCACGTTTGATCCATTAATGGGTCAAATTAGAAATACAAGTGTTGATGACTTTGGAGTCAATTTGTTCATTACTTTTTATGCCTTAGTGCTATTTTTTTTTCTATTACATATTGAAGCCAATTCTTTAGCAAAGAGGGAATAAAAAAAAAAAAAGTTTGATGTTTAATCCTTTTGCCAGATTTAGGGGAGTAGGTTGTGTTGAAAACTTTTCAGTACCTGCTCATATATAAGTAATCAAGAATGTAAGAATGTACAGTAAGTTTGCCTGAAGGTAAGTTGACAGTTTACAACTGCTGAATGCACTGCACAACTTTCATTACTTATTGATATACTAGTTTACTTGCATCGTTAAAAAAATAACAGTAACTTTGCAATTGAATTGATTAAATGGAGAAGGTGCTGAAAACTTCTCAACTTGACCTAAACCTTTTTTTTTTTTTTTTTTTTTTCTCTTAGGGCTTCTTGGTCAGTCCAAGAAATGAAATATAAAAAAAATATAAACCTTGTTTTTTATTACAAGTATTGACATTGGCTAACACTTAAAAATTCTAAACTAAAATTTTAAACTTTGAAACTAGAGAAATTATCCATTTACCGGCTTTTAACTTAATAATTTTTTTTAATTATAGTGCGTCTTATTTTTCTCTTATTTTTCTCTTATTTCATTGTTATTCTTAACCCGAATCACATTTCCATCTTGGTACACCTGTGTGTCGTGTGGGGCTCGATATTGCAGTACAAAGTGTTTAAGCACGCACAAGGATACGAGGTAAGTCATCTTTCAACACATGTACACACCTTATATTCAAATTACCTTGTTTCCCCACTGTTAATCACCTGTCTTTTATAATATGATGATTTAGAGGGTCTAATGAAAGTGAATTAATATCACAAATACTTTGTATGCATGTGTATAGAAAATATAAGCTCATATACATCAACAAGTCAACAGTCTAATCATTTTACACAGCAAATATTCATTCAGTATTATCTCCATCCATGTCAATGCACTTAATTCAGAGATGAATATTAATTGCATAAGGCAAGCATTCAAACTTTAAGTCAAAATTAAGTTAACTATGCTAGGATATGAATTTATTAATCCACCCTCAGATTATATATATATATATATATAAATTATATGTGTGTGTGTGCGCACAGACATACCTACAAAAAACTAAAGTATTGGTAAAATTAACAGTCTGCCAAGTAACGAAAGGAAACAAACTGAGAAGGAAAAATAAAACTAAAAGCAGACACCTACCTAAATAATAAAAGATAGTGCTCAGTGTCTATATAAGCAAGGCAGAGCAATTATCATGAAAATACTTAGAGAAAAGGCACAGGAAAGCTATGTTACGTCAATGGGAAAGTGACTGAAGCTGAGATGCCATGTCAGGAACGATAATGTTGCAGATTCTTCTTTGGATTTTATCAAGAATCTCTAGATACGTAGAAGCAGGTGTGACATTAATATTCAATACATGAAAGAACTTATAAATGTGTAAGATAGATTCTGATGAGAAAATTTGTCAGCACAACACTGGACTAATTTTTGTAGCAATTGAGTCAATATAATTTTTCTACTTCATGTCAGCAGAGAACATTAGCCCAAGAAAGCGCAATGAGTCAGTCTTTTGGAGGTTAGAATCACCCATGCTGATAGAAGGCCAAAGGATTTCTCTCAGATGATTTTTGTTTTGGAGGCATTACAGTTAACAAGCCATTCCTTGCTCCAGTTAACAACAGATTATAGCTTATTTTTTTTTAGATCAGTTTCCTATTCAACCATATCAAACCGATCAGACTTACGATTAAAGCAGGAGTAAATAGTTGTGCCATCAATATAGATACCAAGTTGAGAACAGATAACCTCTAGAAGGTCATTGATGAAAATTAGGAACAATGTTGGTCTAAAGACGGCTTTGTTTGTTTGTTTGTTTGTTCTGGGGCAAACTATAAAGTCTGGGTATTTTTGAGTAGTATTCAATCAATTTTTTTTAGTATGTGTTGTCTTCATTATAAATTAACCTTGTAATTAATTTGTTGAATTTTTGTTTCTCAAAAATTATTTTATGCTTATAAGTTTTCTATAGACATTAGTATCATTAAGTAGATGATGATTTTTTTTTTTTAGATGGGGGTTAGGGGCTATTGTAATGATAGAAATTTTGTAGATGTAGATTAAAGGATTTCAGAATTGGATAGTTGAGTTGATGACATTCACTTATGTACTAATACCCTTGGGAAAGGTATGAATTCATCTCTTTTTTCCCAGTAATGGGTAAATAGCAGGACAGACCAGGTCTTTATAGCCTTAGGTGGCAACTGGTCTAGGAGAAGGAAAAACTGAATTCAAAACCATCCTGGAGACAGTTGGGCTCAGTCAGGCTATTTTGCCCAGAAAACACCACTGCTAATGCGGCTGCAGTGCATGTGGTGCCCTTACAGCCATAATGGGTTACGGGTCTTGTGGACGTGATAGAATTTTTCTCCTTTTTGATTTGTTCAGCACTTTTACGTGTCTTTGGGTAATGCTATTTTATTACATTGTTCTTAACATACTTGTAATTATTGTTTCTATGTAGATTTTGTTTTAAATGCAAATCATTCTGCTCATTCATATTGCATCTATTACATATTTGATTTTAATCCTGGTTGAAATTTTGCTAGAAACAGACTAGGGCTTTGAATTTTGTCTTGGATAATTTTGTCTGTTAACATCTCCAGATTTTTCAATGCATTTCTAATAAAATGCAATCCCCATTACCAACAATATCTGCATTCTATAAGTAATGCCTGTATTCCTGATCACATACAATCCCTTGTTGTACAGAGTGGTCAGAAAGTCTTGTCACCTTCCTAACTCTCTTCCAAACTGAAAAGCTCATGCCAGCCATCTGAAAGAAAATTATATTATGTAGGGGTGACAAGAATTTTGGATCACCCTGTAGGTATCCAAGCAAACTTGGGCCTTTTGTGCCTGCAAAAACAAAACAAAACAAAAATATGAAGTGTTGAAGGGACATTTTTTTGCTATTGGCACCACCGTTATTTTAACTACCTTCACTCTTTGCCAATGTTTATTGTTTTAAGAGGTGACAATTAGAATTGTAATAAAACCTAAACATATGATGAAATAAATTTATACATTTTTATTATATTCTTGGGAATTTAAAACAAAAATTTTAACACTATTAGATTGTCTATTTTCAAAAATATTTACATTCTAAAAACTATTAAAATTAAAAATAATGCAATGCAATATCATAAAGAAATAAAAATGAAAACAATTTTTTTATTCATATATTTATAAATATTTACTAAATTATTAAAATATGTGAACCAACTATATTTAGCATTTTATAAAGTTTGAATTGATTAGCAATTAACCAATATTTTACCAACCATTTCACCCCCGACAAAAAAAAAACAATATAATAAATAGTTGATCTTTAAAGTGATATAAATCTGTTGTTAAGTGGGACAAGGAATGGCTTGTTAATTTTAACACTTGCAAAACAAAACTGCTTTCTATAATTATCTGAGAGATCACTTCCTCCCTTCTATCAGCATGCCTGATACTAACCTCCTGGAGAGTAACTGACTCGTTGCACCTAATTTGGCTAACATTCTCTACTGATGTGAAGTGGAAAGAATATATTGAATCAATTTCTAGGTCTACTGCTAGGAAAGTTGGTTCACTGTGTTGTGCTAAACAATTTTTCTCTTCAGAATCTATCTTACATATCTATAAGTCTACCATTTGTCCATGTAATATTCAATCACAAAAAAAAATAATCATTTTTACAATCCAAAATATGTTTCAGTTTTAAATAACCCAAAAAGGGTTGGTAAGCCATAAAAAACAAGATCAGTCATTTTTGTCTTGTTATTTATTTACTCACTAGAAGCATGTGTGAATGTATATTTTGGAGCACCTATTGTAGCATAATAACTATCAAGCTCATCTGTGAGTTTGATCCTTGTTGGATGCCTTCACTTTTATGACCTTGTACCATACTAAGCTAAGCTTAATGAACTTGTCTCTCAAATCATTGCTATTGAGTTCAATCCTTATTAAATGCTGCTATGCGCATTTTTTTAATTTGGTGCCACAAACAGTATCTTTTTTTTTTTTTTTTCTTAGCAATAACTCTTTAAAGTCAGTCCAGTTTTAAAATGAGAGAGATATGAAATGTTTGTATTTGTACTGTGTGTTAACTCTCATGTCACCAGCATAAAATGAAATAAAACTTATATTGCACAAATAGGGGAACAAATTTTCCATGATTGTGGAATCTTTAGTCTTAAATGGAATTTGGGTTTTTAATGTAATTTTCAATAATAAATTATTTGATTTTCAGATTTTTTTTTTAATTCTTTCAAAACTTAATAATTGTCTCTTCGATTTTGTTAAATATTTTAATAAATATAACAATATCATAACGTAGTTATTTTCCTTATAAAACCCCAAAAATAATTAAGGACAAAAATGTTTACATTAAAAAAAAAATTGGGTCATAGATTTTCTGAGAATATCTTGGCTAGTCTATTTTTAAATATTTTAAAACTTTGCTAAGAAACTGTCAGAAGGTCACAGCTCAATCGTTGGAGGGGAAAGGGAGAGAGATGAAGATCAAACCAATAAGTTTAACAAATTCATTTCCTTTAAGGTTTCACACAATTTACAAGTAAAAGATTCTAAACAACTAGTAACCTTGTTTTATGAATATGAAAGAAAAGTAAATGCTATCATGTGCCTACCATACAATTTAAAGAAAAAAAATTCTCTAAAACCACCATTCTATAGGAATTAAGAAAATAGCAATTTTAAATTTGGGCAGTATTTCAACTTGGGAGAAATAGAAATTGTTTTATTTAAATTTTGAATTAATGTCTAATTTGTTTTTTGATATTTTGTTACAAAGATTTAGTTATTATGGTTTAATTACTGCTTTGTAAAATTTTATTCAAAATGTTTGATTGTATTCAGATATTTATTAGAGATTCAAGTTATTTGCTGTTGATACTTTTAAATATGATTTTTATATTATGAATCAATAATTATAAATCAATCTAAATACTTTTACTTAAAAAAACAATTTGAATGTGTTCTTAAAGAAGGAAACTCTGATTAAAAATTCTACCTCAAAAGATAATTATGCACTCTAGCATTCCATTATTTTATTGTTGAGTTATGTAACTTTTTTTTTTATTTTTACATATAATTTATTTTTGGATTTGGATTTTAACATTTAAGAAACAGATTTGTAGATATTTGCTATTTCTTTATATGTAATAAAACTTTGAATTATGTTTTTGTTTTCAGTTTTAATAATAATTATAGCCGATTGTATTACAATATTCTCATAAAATACTATAAAATGGAAAAAATGAAATTTTCCAAAAGTAAAAATGGAAAAAAAATGAAATTTACAAAAATGTAAAATGGAATCAAAGAAAATTTGAAATGGAAAATCAAAGGCCCTATACAACTGGTCATTATAGATTCCTATATTAAGGATTAGTGTCAGTTGCAATTAGAGATATAATTGGGAAAATACTAACATTATAATGTTAAATTTACTGATATTTTTTTTTCTGTTACAGGTGTCTCAAGTACACTGCATGAACCTTTTTTTTAATCTCATATACCTTCAAGAAATTAAACAGAAAACAATAAAAACATCAACACTTTCTGTCAGAAGATGGTACCTATGCTCTGGAATCACAAGCAAGAAAGATCTTTCACGCCATTGGATCAGGAATTGTCTGGAAAGTTGAAAGTTCCTTGTCTAAATTTGACATGCACGTCATTTGTTCTTGTGGTAAGAATCAAAAAGGAAAACCTTTTTTTTTTTTACTTTAGGAAGCAGTTTCCAGGCAGTGCAGTGAATGAATATTCTCTTATATAAATCTCCTTACCGTATTTACTGGTATACATCCACCAACCCCCCCAGAAGAATGTTACATTGAACAATTATGCTGGTATTAAGGATGGGAGGCTGATCACTCATAGCTGAGCTATACATCTTGTGAGTTGTGATGTTTTGCAGTAAGTAAAAAATGCATTTTATAGGCCAGTAAATATGTGAGTATGCACATAACGTAATGTGTGTGCTTATTTGTACATGCATGTAACAATATCACCTAGATATCCGCCATATCTGGAAATGGAAAAAAAATGAAAAAATCATTAGACACTTAAACTTAATTCACATTTAAAATTGGTCCAAGTTATTAGAACACTCTTTTATTTGTGTGTATGTATATATATATATATATATATATATATATACACACACCTGTATAATAATGTTATCTCCCATCCTGTTAACTTCCTGTGTTTCTCTACACTTTAGACCAATGTTATCATCTGAGATGGTTCTGTAATGTTCTTTGCCTGGCCCACTTGCCAAAATCAATATTCTGATGTTGTCATTGAAATACTGATTTTTCCAAAGTGGGTTTAACCATGTTCCTTTCAGTCCATACCCAACAACACGTGCTTATAATTTATATAGCAGTAAGTGTTACCAATGAAACTAAGAACTAATCACTTATTCTTGAGTCTTACCAGTTCTCATACAATCACTGAAGTTAAGCAACATCGTACCAGGTTGCTACCTAGATGAGTGACCACATGGGAATGCCAGATGCTGCAAACTTGGATGTGCAGGTGGTGTAAAGGACAGTGGCTCAGAATTGGAAATCTGAGAGCAGTTCCAACTCTAGTCAAATTCATTATATTTAAATCTCTTAAAAAAAAAAAAAAAAAAAAAAAGGTATGAATCCACCTTCCCCCACCCCCAGCTACGGCTTAATTAGTTGGACTTGTAACAGTAAATCATTATCTTGAAAAGAGAAAAAATTTGCAATCCAAAAATATTTTCTGGTTTTAAATAGCCTACAAAAACTTGATAAGCCATTAAAAACCAAAATCAACTTTATTCCTGATCCTGTCTTTAAAGGTTCCTTTTAATGTTTGATCACAGAATCCTGTCAAATTAACTATGAAAGTAATATTTCTTCTCATTCAATCATGTTATTTGATTATAAGTTTATTAAAGTGACTGTAGGGTAGAATGCAACGATGTCTTGCAGTCATGCCTTTTTCAATGATTTTGGATACAAACAACACACACATATCTGTTTCTCTTTACTGTTGTCCTTTCAGTTAGGCTAAGCTACAATTCTTGAATGAAAGTATGTAAAAGAAATGTCTGCCTATATCACTATCAGTTTTTATCATCACATCTCAAAGATAGAAAATTATTTTTGTAACAAATTAAAAAAAACAAAAAAAAACTTTTTGCAAAAAAGATGGCAACAATTTTTATACCTTGACTGTTTATTTAATCAGGAAAACAACAAAAACAAAAAAGAACCACAACTGCTGGAAAATTCTAAAATTGTGTGGTTTTGGGATTATTTTTTTTTTTTTTTTTTTTAAATCCTTAAAGAATTTTTTACAGACTTGTTACCAATTCCTCTACAAGAAAAGGTTTTCAACTTAAGAATTATGAACTCTTAATCTGACTAAATGGTTTTAAATAGGATGCATATTTTACCAATGTTAGTCTTGTTTCTTGAAGTTGAATTCCTAGATTGGTCCAATTTTGCATTCATCTGCTTCATTAAAAGGTCATAACTTACAAAAATGTTAAGAACCTTTTGATCGAAATGATTTACAATTTTTCTCAAATTGTTAGACGAAGTGAGGAAAAAAAATAAAATACTTTTTGTTTTAATTTCATCCATTATTTTTTAATATTTCTTTTATTTGTTTTATTTATATGATTCAAAATGTTTGTCTTTCTTTAGTTGAATAAAGTGACATTTTTCATATCTTTTGAGTTATCAATTTCAAAATGTCTCTTTATAATTCTTTTTCTTTTTACTTTCTTTCTTTTTACTTTCCTTTTTTCTTTCTCTCTTTTCTCTTTTCTTTCTCTCTTTTCTCTTTTTTCTTTCTCTCTTTTCTCTTTTTTCTTTCTTTTTTCTTTCTCTCTTTTTTCTTTCTCTCTCTTTTCTTTTCTTTTTTTCTTTCTTCTTTTTTCTTCTTTTTTTCTTCTCTCTTTTTCTTCTCTCTTTTTTTCTTCTCTCTTTTTCTTCTCTTTTTTCTTCTCTCTTTTTCTTCTCTCTTTTTTCTTTCTCTTTTTTCTTTCTCTCTTTTTCTTTCTCTCTTTTTTCTTTCTCTCTTTTTTCTTTCTCTCTTTTTTTCTCTTTTTTTTTCTCTCTTTTTCTTTCTCTCTTTTTCTTTTCTCTTTTTCTTTTTTCTTTTCTTTCTCTCTTTTTCTTTTTTCTCTTTTTTTTCTTTCTCTTTTTCTTTCTTTTTTTTTTTTCTTTCTCTTTTCTCTTTTTTCTTTCTCTCTTTCTTTCTCTTTCTCTCTCTTTTCTTTCTCTCTTTTTCTCTTTTTTCTTTCTCTCTTTCCCCTTCTCTTTTTTCTCTTTCTTTTTTTTCTTTCCTTTTTTTCTCTTTCTTCCATAACCAAACAGTTTTGGATTGTTGTTCTTTTTTTTTCTTTTTTTTTACATATCATTGATTAAAAACTAATTCACAAAACAATTTTAATTGTGGAAAAAAAAACAAAAAGGGAAAAAATATGATTTATATTTTGCAACTGTTTTGAAATTTTGTATACAAGCATTGTTTTAATACATCACAGAAATAGTGTTAAAGAATTTGCTTTAAATAATAATATTTTTTTTTATGATATTTTAATTTAAAATTTTGTAAGTAAGAATATGCTTTAAATTCAGATTCCAAAGTTGTTTTGAAATTATTTGAAGAAAAAGATAAAAATATGTTTTAAATAATATAAATATTAACTTTTTTTATTTTTATCTTTTTCTTTTTCTTCTGGTTTGTGTAGGGAAATCAATTTACAATGAATTTATGTTGCAAACTGAATCATCATCCTAAAATTTAGAAAATTGAAAAAAGTTTTTTGAGATTTGGTGTGCTTATTCAATATGAAGAGGAGGATGAAAAAATGATTATTTCTTGTGAAGTTCTCTCTCTTTTTTTTTTCTCTCTCTTTTTTTTCTCTCTTTTTTTTTCTCTCTTTTTTTTCTCTTTTTTTTCTCTTTTCAAGGATTCATGGTCAAGTTGTTTAAAGTTTTTAATGCTTGGATCTAATAAGAGCTTACAGACACATCATGATTAAACACCAGGTGCCATACAATCACCAAAGTTAAGCACCATAATAGTGCATAATGACTTGGAAATCAGAGCCATGTGGATGATGATGGCTCTCCACAACATCCTGTCTTTGTTGCTCCTTTGACACCCATTTTCCGTTTTATTATCCCTGTTCTGCTATCCATTTGCTCAAACTCTTTAAGTACATTCCACACAGTTTCCTCCATCCATTTTTATGCATTTAATATGCCCTGTGATTGTTAAATCGACCAACTTTGATAAATTTTCCAAATATTTTTTTTTTTTTTTTTTTCACTAAAATATTTCAAATAGAAAAACAAAAATAAAGATCATTTAGGGTGTTTTTTGAGGTACTCACAGACTCAAGCTAAGTTTTGGTGAGTGTGGCGAAACCAATATATAAAAAAAAAAAAACATGAACCAAAATTATAGGATCAAGCAAAACATTGTGTTAATGACTTAACGTAAAAACAACATGTCCGAAAACAACACTGAACAACTCTTGAGATAGGAAGAAATAGTGACAGGATTCAACTTTTTTTTTTTATACGTAGCCATTTTTTACATCCATAATTTTCCTGTTTCTGTCTCTGAAATAAACTAAAAAAAAACAATTTTTTTTTTTTTTTTTTTTTTTTCTTTTTTTTTTTTTTTTTACTCCAGGCAAGGCAATAAAGTCACTAAGATGCAAGGATTTACTGAGTGAAAGAATAACAGAAAAAGTAAAACCTTATTAAGGAGAGAAAACAGTAGAAGAAGAACAGGTATTAAGAAGACAAAAGATAATGATTGAAATTACATTTAAGTTATTGAAGATCAGTGTTAACTGAAAGAGCAAATGTGAGAGAACAAACTGTTAGCATAGAACTTTCAGATAAATCTAGCTATTTCAGGTGTAAAATGAAGAGACCTAACTGCCAATCTAGTACTGTGTTTAAATTCATAAAATCTAAGTGCTAAAGAGGAAAGCTCATCAGAACAATTACCATGAAAATATTTATAAAAAAAGGCACAGAGAATCTATGTTATGGTGTTGAGAAAACGACTGAAGCCAAGATGCCAGGTCAGTCTTAATAATTTTAATTATCAAAGCAACTTCACTATTGAGGTCAGAGAAGCTTGAGGATTGCCCCACTCCAAAGAAAAGTTAAAATATAAAATTAAACAAAAAAGTTTACAAAATACATTATTTCATACTGTACTTAAGAGTCTACCAATTTCTACCATTTAGTTACATTGGAATGTCTTTCTTTTTTATTTACTAAAATTTATTTGCAACATGCTAATGTGTTCAAATCTTCACAGTATTTAGTTTTGTTGACGTTATCGCTTCCTCTTCACATTTGAAACTCTCCCTACTGCGTTTATATTTACAGTGCAACAACTATGCATTATATTTTACCAGAATGAGATATATATATATATATATATATATATATATATATATATATATATATATATATATATAAAATATATATATATTTATAAAAACTATATATATATTTATAAAAACTATATATATATTTATAAAAACTTAAAGATATGCAGAAACCAGTATTTCATTTTTATTAAATAAGTATTTATTTTAATCATTAAATTGTTTTTAAAATAATGAGAGTATTTTGTTGAATAATAAAACTTAATTTTTCCACAAAAATTAATGAAAATTTATTATACTAATCTATGCACCCAACTAAAACCAACTGTAGTTTGTATCCCTTTACTTGTTTTCTCTCCAAAATTTGGTTTTGATCTGTCAATGTGTGACTAGAGGGTGTGGCAGACAGATGGATGGTCTAATGGAAATCACAGAATAAATAGATTAAAACTTAAACTGCTAATTTTTATACAAAAATTAAGCAAATCAGTCAAGGGGTCTTGTAGAATACTGGTTAAAATTTTATTAAAATAAATGTCTTTTTCCATAAAATATGTCTATATTTCTTAAATGAGATATTGTAATTATTTACACTAATTACATTGCTCGGACTGTTGTCTTCATCTTCATTGCCATATTCACCCCAGTGGAAATTCCAGTTTTTTTTTTTTTTTTTTTTTAAAGTTTAGTGTGTCACAAACCAGTTGTACTGATTTGGTAGGGTGGAGGGGGACTGGTAAATGGTGTCAGGTGTTATTACAGTTATGACCATCCATGTTTCAGAATTAATATTTGACATGTCCATTAGGTTTGTTATACTTTTGAAAAGTACATGCAAAATCATACGAAAAGAAAAATACTTCATCATTTCAGGTTTGGGAAAGAAAGTCAAAGTACATAAAAACTGCGTATTATATGCTAGAATAGTTTTACTCTAGTTTCATTCCACAAGCAATTAGTTTTCATACAGACATTCTGAGAAAGCAGTTAATATGCAAATCAAAATATTGATTATCAAACTTGGACACCGGCAACAATAAACCGACATTACAATGACATGTTGCATACGACTACAAGCAGGCCACATTTGCCAGTTTAAATACAAGTCTTATGATGACCTTCACCAAAATTCACAAAATTAAACATCATCTACTTTTAGAAAAAAAAATTTTAAATGGATCTTAGAGTGCTTCATTTTTTTTAAATTTCAAAGTGAAGAGAAAATTTCCAGCTTATTCATCACTGAGTAGAAGAAGAAGAAGGCATTCTTATTCCATAGAAGAACATAATACGTAAAGGAAAGTTTAAATTTTGCAACAGCCTAATAACTAGTTTTAAGGGCTTCTGTAATAGTAACCGAATCGTGTAAACAGGTTGAATCTCATGACTGTCCTCTTTAAAGATTTGACACAACGCAGGTAAGTGTTGCTGTCAAGTTTATAAACTTCTATGCTAACAGTTTCTTCTATCACACTTCTCGCTTGTGGAACACTCTTTTGGCTTTTTGCTTTCCAATCAACTTTTGGCTTATGGCCATACCACATTGAAACACTGATTCTCGTTTGTTCACTGAAGTTAAGCAATATTGTACTTAGTGGGTGACCACTTGGGAAACCAGGTGTTGTAAGCTTGGATGTGTGGGTGGTGTAATAGATAATGGCTCGGAATTGGAAATCAAAGAGCTAAGTTCTAAGTCCAGTAGGGTTCACTATATTCACTTATGTGCAAATACCTTTGGGGAAAGGTATCACTACACCCACTTCTCCCTTATCTAGGAGTTAATGAGTAGGACTTGTATGAGTAATATCCCAAAAAAATGAATTCTTAGAATTTAAAAATATTTTATGTCTTTAAATAACCTGCAGAAGGTCAATAAGCTATAAAAACGAATGAATAAAGCCATTAAGTTGATTTACAAAAATTTAAATGCAGTATCAATCGTTTTCTTATGTCTCCTTAATTCCTGTTGTTTTATTAGCCTCTCTCCTTAATGTTTTTTTCTTTTTCACCTATTCGTTCACACTTAGTAACCCCTTGTGTCATAGTGGCTTTATAGCCTTACTCATGGAGAAATGTTTAAAAAAATATTATTGACTCAGTTTTATGCTCTTCATTTTAAAATCAACCAAAACTGTTCTATCTGTTTCTGTGTTCATTTAAACTGTACATCATATTTAAATTCAGAGACAGTTGTCAATTTGTATATATATATATATATATATATATATATATATATATATATATATAAGCTTGTGAGTTACTCAACTAATTACACTAAAGGGATGCTTGGAAAGCAAGAAGACATAGTCTTCCTCTTCACTCTCCAGCATCCATATTAGGCATTAGAATATCCATATTAGCCTCTTAACAAAATAGAAGAAAGAACTGGAATAATTCAAAGAAATTAATTCTAAAAAGGAGTTTTATTTGAAAACATTCAATATACGCACTGAAATATACAAATATACAAACGCATATGTATACATAAATAAAAGACAAAAGGAAAGCTTTTCTTTACCAACGCATTTTGTTCCCCGAGAGACTTTATCAAGGTAAAATTAATAAAGCATCTCGGGGCAAAACAGATTGACAAAGAAAATCTTTCCTTTTGTCTTTTATTTATATCTGAATTTTTACACATACACATCTTATAATAATTCTGCTTGTCTTTACCTTAGCACAACCATTACGCCTTGCCAGACCTAATAATGGATTATTCCATTTTGCTTGCATGGAAAGATGGAAAAGATAAACAGACGCTACTTGGTTTCAGTGAGAAAGAAAGAAAAGAAGATAGAAGTATTTGGAATCTGTTTCAGTGAAATGGAAAAGTTATAACCAGATTAAATAATTATAAACCTTCTAGCTTTTATATATACAAAAATACTCATAAAAATGAGAAACAGCAAGATGTGCAAACAACAAAATGATTATTATTTATTATCTGGTTTTTATGTGGTGTTGGAGACGTCAGAGACGGTAATATTGAATAAAATTCTGAGTTTGGGGTTCAATATGGATTGGAATCTGACAGAATGATAAGAATAAGTAAAGTGTATACAGCTTTTCTCCTATGTTTTTTTTTTTTTTTTTTTTTTTAGATGTATGTAATGAGTGATCAGATAATTGGAAAATATGAGTGCCTGGGATTTTCTTACTTTTAATTTTTTTTTTTGAGTGCTAAAAGAATAATGTTACTATTCTGAAAAATAAAAGGAGCCAAAATTTTTGTTGACACACATGTTGATGGCCTGTCCGTGTTGGTTGCTTGTCCTATAGTGAGAATGTTATGTGTTTGTGTGTAGAGGGGAAAAGTGTCGATTCTCATTGGTATAATTGTTATAATTATTTTTAACACTATAATTTTTTATGGACACGACACTGACAGTATAATTCATTTTTTATTCATGCATTTCTTTATAGACACGACAAATGAAATAATTATTGTGGAAATATATTTGGCTGCCTCTTAGATTGAAAAGAAATGTTCTTTTACGAATTCACTTTGTCTTTGTGATACATGTTTCTTTATCCATTTGCTCCAACTTGTCAAATTGTTTACTTATTACAGTCCTCTGTTTCCACATACACAGTCCCTACGGCAAAATATAGAAATGTTTTCTCTGCTTTTTTTCAGAATTGTTTATCAATGTGTACACCTAAGTATAATTTTCTTTTGTGATCTATGTTATTCATTATATAAAAGTCCTCCACATGTTGAATTAATTTCTTTTCAAAATGTTGAATTAACTTCCTTTGAAAATTGTCAAGCTCATCCGTCATAAATCTTTGACCAACCATTCACTACAGGTTCACGGCAAAGAGTCAATTTCTTTTCTCAAAAGCAAATTTATATATTGAACTGAGAGAAAGCCAAATGTTTTGATATTCCGAACATGACATTACATATAAATCATAATTCCTGATAGTGTCATTTAGCTTTCAGGACCCACATAAGTAACAATCCCAGTACTTTTTTTTTTTTTTATGTACCATATCCTTTCAGGATGTGGGCGATCATGGCTCTCCACAACTTCCTGTCCTTTGTAGCTTTTAGTATGGTTTATCTTTTTGCTACCTGTTGTAACGTAGAAAAGGTTACTGAATGAGGAATACCCAAAACGATGGTTGGAAATGAAATGGTAATCTTTATAACATCAACAAAATACAATACTCGCCAGTGACGTGAAATAGGTAAACCACTGCTAGCATATAGGTAAATAGGTAAACCACAGCATATCACCCCCACTTACAATAGTATCCAAAACATTTATGAGGATTGGGACATACCCATTAGTGTTCATATGTACGGTATATAATACTATCTCTCCTAGTCCCTAATTAGGGCACTTTGACTTGTAATAACAGTAAGCTTGTTTTATTAAATTATGACTAAATAGTGAGTTCAAGCCTCACTGGGTGCTACATACTTTCAGCCTTGTGTCACATCTTAGTCTAACCCCTCCTCTGCGTGTTGGTCTTCAGGTTCCTTCAGATCACCGTGGTTACCATCTAGCCGCTCCTCACTCATTAACGCGTTGCTGGTTTGTCGCAAGTTTTGTGATGATGAGCACAGTTCCACTCTACAATCTAGCTGGCGTTCATCTCTTTTCACGATTCTTCACACCTCTGCCATGTTGTGTTTTTGATCGCAGATCAAGTACACTGAAGCAAAGAACAGGTCGACGGCGGGAAGCTACACAGAAAAATAGAATTCTTTGAAATAAAGAATTAACTAGGGTTAAAAATGTAACAACAATTTGGTTTATATGGGATTTCTTGTCTACAGCGGTTTTAACCCTCCCCATGTACATTATTTACACTATTGTGCTCATCTTTGTTGTTATTATCACAACGTTTCTACAGTTGTTCCATCCGGCCTTCGTCAGGTGTATGTCAATCCGTTGTGATAACAACAACAAAGATAAGGACACTAGACCGCATATAGTGTATATAATAACTCCTCATCCCAGAAATTCAGACAGAAAAAAATTTACATTATTGAGACGAAACGTGATTCCTATTAATCGGCTGAGCGCTTGATTTTTACCTTGAGAAACAAAGATGAAATTACTTAAAATCTAATTCCTATTACGATATATATTTATACATTATCTTTTCCCATAAATATTAGATTTGGACAGAAAATCCTGACAATCACTTGAATCTGGAATTTTAGTTTGAATCGAAAACTATAAATAAGCTTCCTTCACTGCACCCAAAGTGCTGAATCGCTGGTCAAGAGGAATTGAGCGGAATTCTGCATCAGGACTGAAAATGGAAAAGAATCTCAACACTTTATTTTATCCAACCTTCTAACAATGTGTGGCCTCAAATTGTCTTGTGAATCAAAAGCC